AATAATAATAACAATAATAATAATAATAAAATAGCCTCTTTCCACTTTTGTTCTTTAAATGATAAGAGTACGTACCAGGACGGGTCTTTTAGCAACCATGAGACCTTACCAACAGCTTCTGGAGCCATTAATAATAACAATTAATTAATTAATTAATAATTAATACATACTTTTTTCTTGAGTGTTGTTGGCAAGTGATTGTGTAATGAATATTTCTTAAGATCAGAGAACCCAACACTGTATACTGTACCCAACTGATCATAATTAATATCAAATTTCTAATAATAAAATAATAATAATAAAAAATCATCATAATAACTTTTACTGGAGTAGTAGTCTGTACTACTGGTTCAGCGGCTGTACAGTAGACTAGTTAGTTGCTGTCATTGGTTGGTTTGAAGGTTCTGAATAATTCATTAAGAGAGAGAAGACTGGGTGGGTTATTTTAAAGGACAAAATATACTTTAAGAAAGAAAACACTCGAGAAAACAATGATTTTTGCCTGCATCATGGCCGCCATTTTATCGCATTTTATGGCTGCGCCCGCTTTTTAGCACTCATCTCCGGTTTTGATTCCGGATCCGGCTCCGGGTTTTAGCAGGAGCGGAGTGTATAAATTCATAGATGATAAATTCCTCCAGAGTCCAGACCGCTAATCAGCAATGGCTACAAGTAGCCTCGCTACAAGCCCTTCTTCCTCTCCTCCTTTTGTAAACGTTTGCAATAAAGAACTAAGTGAGTTTGTGGGTATGTTTAACATTTAATAAAGTGTATTTCAGGTATTGATGAGTATCACTCAGTGTATGATAAAGTGAAGCCTATTTCTGCTAGTTGGAAGTCATTCGCCATTTCATTACGTTTGAGAATAACTGACATTAATATCATAGAAGCTAGCTCTCATGGAAATCCAATTTCTTGTCTGCAGAAAGTTCTAGAGTATTGGCTAATGAAAAATTATGATTATGAGCGTTATGGCTGCCCCTGCTGGAGAATGGTGTGTGCAGCTGTTAAAGCAGGAGGAGGAAATTCAGCATTAGCTGATGAAATAGCTCGTGAACATCCTCTACCAGCTACTACTGGAGGAGCTACTCCTCATCCTCTACCAGCTACTACTGGAGGAGCTACTCCTCACCCTCTACCAGCTACTACTGCAGGAGTTACTCCTCATCCTCTAGGACCTCTACCAGCTACTACTGGAGGAGCTACTCCTCATCCTCTACCAGCTACTACTGGAGGAGCTACTCCTCATCCTCTACCAGCTACTACTGGAGGAGCTACTCCTTATCCTCTACCAGCTACTACTGGAGGAGCTGCTCCTTATTCTGTGGGTGGTCCTACTAATGTTATTCGTAATGAAGGAATGCTACCTTCAGGAGGTAACTTACCAAATTTGAAATAATAAAGAATAATGTTAATACGTTTATTTTATTAGGTGGTAACTCAAGTCATAATGAAAGTTCGCCAATTTCCAGAAGAGATAGTTCTTCTGTTGATGTTGTAATGTCACCTGGAAGTGGAAAATCAAATAATTCAACAAGTAAATAAAATAATAATGATAACTAATAATTTTATTTATGAGATAGTGATAACTAGTAGTCATGTCACATTGTACTATTGTAAGAACATTTCATTCATGAGGTCACCGTTTATTTATTTCACAGTTTATGCTCATCATCCTGAAAAGAATCATCCCTTGACAAATAAGATATATGAACTGAAGGATGAGTTTGCTGATGCACTACAACTGACAATCAAGTCCTTTGAGAATAAACCAGACCTTCTTCCTAAAATCATTGAATATCTTAAAAGACGTGTCCATACTTTGCTGGGTCCTTCTTGTGATTCAGCAGCAGCACAAGCAGTTAGAGAAGAGTTCAGTGACATTAAAACAATGGCAGATCTTTTCTCAACCTTAGAGTACAAGTATGTATCTTGGTTTAACTATGAACTGATAGTAAGACTAGTTCGTGTGTTCCTAAGTGATAATCGTTCATTAAAGAGAACCTGGTTGTCATATGAAGAGAAGTTAAAGGATTATTTTATAAACAGTGGTGGACTATTGAAAGATGCTGATGCTGTACAGTTTGGTATAACAGACGTTCCTCCTGATACACGAGTAATGATTGCTAAAGTTGATAGTGATGACTACACTCCAAGTGACCTTTTCTTCTATCGTAGGGCAATACCAAAAGGATATGACATTTCTCATTTCAATCTTTATTTTCTTCGAGTTTACCCTGGTTCTGTTGTCCTAGAATATCTCATTCCTGAGTATCTTTATTCTTTATTATTTCCTCTAACTACAAAGCTACAGCAACAGTTAGCTAGTATTGGTATCACTGAACTAACATGTGGTGAAGATAAATATGATCTAAGAGAGGTTTGTGCTTTTTATGCTTGAAATAAAATTTTGATACTATTTTTTCAATTTAATAGTTCTCAATAGAAGAGGTTAAGCACTCATCCACTGATATTGGTAAGTACATGAACTGACCTTTAGTCAATCCCTCTTATTGGCAATGGTCAACAGCATTACATACATGTGTTAATAATAATATTCTTTAATTATAGATATATGTGATCCATTATGGCATGAAAATACCAGTACACCATTACATGAAGCAGCTTGGAGAGGATTAAAAGATGAAGTACAATGGCTTCTG